CTTTTTAGATTCCTCCGATCATGGCCAAATTGATAAAACACATATGTTTTTGAAATGTGAATGTGTTCAAGTTTTGGTATATAATTAGCTTTTGTGTGTGCTGGTGAAGTAAGTTTTGGCTATAGACCAATATAATATAATTCGTTTTTTATTTTTGATTTTAAACACATGATATTGAGAAATTTTAAGAAATACACCTTTTGAGGTGCAAATTTTCAAAACTACACCTATGTGTGGAAATTTTCAAAAATACAATTTTTTCTAATTTTAATATATATGTTTGGGTTCACTAATCCTAGACTAGGGTTTAGATTTTGGGGTTTAGGGTTTAGCTTTAAGGGTTCAAGATTTTATGGTTTTGGATTTATATTTTAGGGTTTAGAGTTCTTTTACTCCATGAAAAAAGTTTAGTTTTGAAAATAAACACTATAGAGGTGTATTTTTGAAAGTTGGCACTTAAAGGGATATAGTTTTGAAATTTCCCCGATGATATTTTGATTTGTTTTAGACCTGATTTTGGCTTTGATAATATGTTTTGTTCATCAAGTTATCATTAATACATGAATAATTAAGAATCAATGCATGAATATGAATCAATGGATCAACTTAATCAAATGATTTGCTATAATAACCCACAAAATATTGTAAATAGCCAAAATAGCCTATCAAGAATTTTGAAGATTTTATAAAAAAATTTACACAATTATCCTTTTAAAGTCTTCCAAACTTACTCGCAGACTCGGATTTTCTTTTGCTAGTCTGCTATTTTTTTGGCAGACTCAACGTATTTTTGGTAGACTCTATATATTTTTTCGTAGACTCTGTCAAGCTTTGACAAACTATACCAAAATCTTCCAAATTTACTAGCAGACTCGGATTTTATTCTGCTGATCTTCCATTTTTTTGTGGATTCTGCATATTTTTAGTAGATTTAAATTTCAGTCTGCTAATCTGTTATTTTGTTAGCAGACACTACATATTTTTGGTAGATTCTGCGTCTTTTTTGTAGACTCTGTCAAGGTTTGGTAGAGTATACCAAAGTCTTCCAAAATTTACTAGCAGACTCGGATTTTAAATTGCTAGTCTTCCATTTTTTTGGTGGATTCTGCGTATTTTTGGTAGATTTAAATTTTACTTTGCTAGTCTACTATTTTATTGGCAGACTCTACGTATTCTTTGTAGACTTTGTTGAGGTTTTGGCAGACTACGTCAAAGTCTTCCAAATTTACTGGCAGACTTGAATTTTAAACTGCTAGTCTTCCATTTTTTTGGTGGATTCTGCATATTTTTGGTAGATTTAAATTTTACTTTGCTAGTCTACTATTTTATTGGCAGACTCTACGTATTCTTTGTAGACTTTGTTGAGGTTTTGGCAGACTACGTCAAAGTCTTCCAAATTTACTCGCAGACTTGAATTTTAAACTGCTAGTCTTCCATTTTTTTGGTGGATTATGCGTATTTTTGGTAGACTTAAATTTTACTTTGCTAGTCTGCTATTTTATTGGCAGACTCTACATATTCTTTGTAGACTTTGTCGAGTTTTGACAAATTACATTAAAGTCTTCCAAATATATTAGCAGACTTGGATTTTAATCTGCGAATCTTCTACTTTTTGGTGGATTCTGCATATTTTTGGTAAATTTGACTTTTACTCTGCTAATCTGCTATTTAATTAGCAGACTCAACATGTATTTGGTAGACTCTGCATAATTTTTTGTAGACATTGTTGAGATTTGGCAGATTACATCAAAGTCTTTCAAATTTACTAGCATATTCAAATTTCAATATGCTAATCTTCTAATTTTTTTATGAATACTACATATTTTTGATAGACTTGAATTTTACACTGTTAGTTTGCTATTTTATTAGCATATTCAATATATTTTTGATAGATTTTACATATTTTTTAAGACTATGAGTTTTGGCAAACTACACCATAGTCTTCTAAAATTATCACTATAATTGAATTTTAATCTTCTAATATGATATTTTTCTGTGTTGTTTTGTTAATATTGGATTTTAGTTGATGAAATATTTTCTCGCAAAATTCAGAAAAAGTTACAAACTGAAATCTCATATAGTCAAACATTTTATAAATGTGCAAAAAAACAAAAATGAAAAGAAGTAGAATGGATAGAGAATCAATTTCAATGATAAATACCATAAATGAAAAAATTGAGTTCGACAAAAAAAATTGCTGTTAGACCAAATATACATTGCCATGAAATTTGATAAAATAAAAATAATCAATTGATTTGAAATTAAAAGTTATTTATTTCTTATTTTATTTTTCTTTTATTTATTTATTAACTAAAACTAATTTGTTATTGTTCAAATTAAATGAATAGTTATGTGTAATTTACAAAAACGAAATTAAAGAAATAATTATAGTTAAAAGGATAAAACTGGAATTATACATCACTGCTTAAATGATTAATAGGTTATATGAGTAATAAAAATATAAATAGGTTATTATAGCTATTTCTTATAAAAAAGAGGTTATATTAGGTAATTTTCTCAAAACTTAATATGTTTTGGGCTCTAATTTTGGCTTTGATAATATATGTTTTGTTCCTCAAGTTAGCATTAATAGAGCAAGAATCAAAAATCGATGCAAGAATATGTAGCAATGGATCAATCACAAACTTGATTTGTTTTAGACTCTGATTTTGGCTTTGATAATATATGTTTTGTTCAGAAAATTATCATTAAACGCTTAAACGCTCAACCATAATATTATATTGATCCATATTACATAGCAAAGCACACAGATGGACCAAATACTCTACGACAAAGTAACTAATCTACTAATAATATTAAAAGACCACAAATACTACAAATAACTCTTATACTAATAATATTAAAACACCATTAGACTTAAACAACTTACCCTAGTGTTTCTTCTTACCAATCCTCTTTGAAATTTCTTCCCTTACTTGGGATGATCACCATAATACGTTTTCTGTTGACTTTCCTCTTCCCTTATGTGTGATTTTTGGGCAGGTTTAATCCGTTGGGAAACTATTAGACTAAGAATATATAAGACTATGAAACAATTGGGAAACTATTATAGTAAGAATATTTAAGGTTCTCGTTTTATTCTGCATATTGGAAGGAGTTTGCAGAGTATGAAATTCGTTTGAGAAATTCAAACTGTGTTACAAGTATATCGTAAAGCGAAGAAACTTGGAAAATACTGCGTAGATATGTGGATGATCTATTGCGACTTTGCTGTAAGGACTTATGCAGATCCATGTTTGATTAGAAGGTAAAGAAATTTTTGGTTTTATTTACCATCTATACTTAACAGTTTGAAAAATCTGACATGTTGTTACTCTAAATTTGAAGCCTTTTTCAGACCGCCTTAGATCATGTTGGAAGTTACACTTGGTCATCTGTGTTGTGAGACTGATCAGATTGACAGAGATTGGAGCTTCTAGGCATTGATATATGAGGAAATATTCAAATATCCAATTCCAGAAACCAATGCAGACCTCCTCCGCAGGTAAATTCAGCTCTCTCTCTCTCTCTTTATCGAAAAAAAAATTCAGCTCTTCTCAATTTACAAACACATTTCATGATTTTAACATATATTGCTTCAGGTTTCTAGATTTAGTCTCTCGTGGCCAAACTCTTAGAGAAATTTTGGGCACCAAATTTTCCTGTGGTGCTGGTACAATAGAATAATTCATTACAACCACAACGGCACTGTTATTCAAGGCGCGAGAATACTGGAATAGGATAAAAGAATCTGAAGACACATTTACAGATTCCAAGTACCGTCTTGAGTCTCTAAACCATACAGAGGTTGTGAAATGAGAGAGTTACATTGCTTTGGTAGAACAGGGTGGAGTGGAGACGTCAGAGAAAAATCTCTTTAGTTTTATATATCCTTACTCTAATAGTTTCCGCTACAATTTTCTATTGTTGTTAATCCGTCTTTACATATGTCACAGACGATGGACGACGGACGAGAAAGCACAAAGACGATCATATGGACTCTTGAACTTTCAATTAAAGATGTTCCTAAAAATGGAAAGAAAGGATTGTGGAGAAAAGTATAATGACTCAGTTTAAATAATGGCCCGCGCTTCTTATATACTCCTTCCGTTTCAAATTAGTTGTCGTTTTGGCAAAATGTATCTGTAAATATTTGGATGTATCTGGACGTGTTTTGCATTACAAATACATCCAAATAATTGCAGATACATTTTCCCAAAACGACAACTAATTTGAAACGGAGGGAGTACACGCTTTTAAATTTCAAACCTAAAAAGTAGTATAATGTTTTTTTTTTTTTTTTTTTTTTTGTGAAAAAAAGTAAGTAGTATAATATTAAAATATAAAACTGATCAGAATGATGTATCTCCAGAAGCCGCATTATCTAATCTCCTTGATGAGTTTTTTTTCTTTTTTTTTTCTTCTTTTTTTTGTTAACAACATAAATTTCTATCTAGGCACGGGAAGCGTTACCGGTGGAATCTCCTTGATGAGTTTAGAATCTTGAGAAACATGATATTTGGATTCTTATATATTTAACTAAGAAACTCCACTATTACCTTAAATGACTAGAAATCCCATAAAATCAAACCACTTAAAATATAAGAATCCAAATACAAATCAGTCTCAATAATTAATCTCAAATCCCAAGTTCAGTTTATCCCCTTAGTCCTTTTTTTTTGTGTGACAAAGCTGAAATGTTTAGTCATGAGTTCAATTTGAGAGGTCAGTCGTAATGTTAAAAGAGGGCAAAACGCAAACGATAGATTTTTTTTGTTCCATTTGCTAAATGTTAGCTATCATAGTCTATATAAATAACGATGTTTGATATACCAAGAAAAAAAAAACTATTCTTAAAACACACAGAAAATGATCAGATAAATAGCGGAGTAGCGAACATTACAACTAATGTTAATCGATATTCTACTTACACAAGCAAAGAAAATAGTAGTAATAAATATTACCATATATGGCTGTACGTAGAAAGATGGCGTCTCATCTCATTTGAGATTAGATGCTACAGAACGTGCCCACCATTTAAGACTATCCTTCATGTTCGTCTCACCACATAAAGCAGCAATTCTTAAATCGATAACCACTGATTCTTTCTCTGTTCTCCCACTCCATTTATCACTGTAAAAGTCCCATGCCTCCGACAAATATGGTCTCGGCACCGACCACTCTGTCTTACTCTCTTCTTCCCCGTGGAGAAATGTCCGCAATCCGGGAAGAATCTCTGGCAACTCCGAGTTCAAGTCTTCTTCTGTGAAAACAAAACCTAGATCTGTAAACCCTTTTGTCTCCTCAGCTTCTAAATCAGCTGGCACACTCTCTCTTCTCGCATTGGTTCTTTTTTCTTCTGCTCCTCCGTGAGCCTCCTCTGGTTCTCCTTGCCTCCCATGCATTTTTTTCGGTTGTAGAATTATGAGCTTCAGAAGCTTAGCGGACGATAATTTATTTGTGTGTGTGTGTGAGAGAGAGAGAGAGAGAATGTTAACTTGTATAAATAGATATTGACGTATGGTTACGATTTACGAGTGCTTATTGTTAAAATATTCATGATTTAGTTTGTTTCACGTTTTTCATTTGGTTTCTCAACTATTTTATATGATTATCGTAAGTCAAAACACGTCAGAGAGAAAAGATTATAAAACAAATAGTCTGGTCTTGTTCACATTATACATTTACACGTAACTACGTAGGGAAAGTCAACTTTTAGGTGTAATAGGATATGCCCAGAGCATTTAAATTGAAAAACCCGAACTGTACGTAATCTACATAAGGCTTGGACACTCTCCTGTTCGGGACACGTGGCACCTTCTTTTTATTTTTTCTTCCAAACGCCAAAACGACGTTATTTAGGTGTTCTCAATTTTTTTTTTCCCGTCGAACACCAAAACAACGTCGTTTAAATTATATGAAACGATGTCGTTTAAATTATATGAAACGACGTCGTTTAGGTTTTTTTTTCCCATAAATTATTCGCCCAATTTCTTTTCCTCGACGTCTCCGCCGAGATCGGGCTACTTCCTCCGCCATTAAATCCGACGGTTACGCGGTTACGCCCCTTCGATTGCCCACATTTCCCATTTCTCTCATCTCCAAATCTGTTCAGAAACCCCAAAACTTTTGCGAACCCCCATCCTCTCTCCTCACGAACGCAATTGCTTCTCCTGGCCAACCCTCGCCATCTCAAAATCGACGCAATTGGACACCTCTCAATCGATTTCTAAGGTTAGACACAGGTGCCTTTTTTTATTACTTAGTGTTCCACATTCCATTCTCTTGAGGAGTGTTGACTGAATGTATAATTTCGTATAGGTTTCTCTTGTTAACGGTATATCGATGGGTGGAGGTGCTTCGTTGAAGGTCCCAATGAAGTTCTCTGTTGTGACTGAGAAAACTGTGAGTACTCAGGAGTTTAATCTGCTTCATTTTGTGTATCTGTATAATGCTGGTGTAGAACCCAACTATATATGTGTCGTTTGATAGGTTTTTGCAACGCCAGAAGCAAGTATTGGGTTTCACACTGATTGTGGATTCTCTTACATTCATTCACGTCTTCCTGGTCATTTAGGTGACTTCTAAACCGTTTAAAAAACTAAATATTGATTCCAACCTAAGCATTGGCGCATCTCTCTAATGTATATAACACTTTCAGGAGAATTCTTGGCTTTAACTGGGGCAAGATTGAACGGCAAAGAACTTGTAGCAACTGGAATGGCAACACATTTTGTACCTTCTGCTGTGAGTCTTTGAGCTGTTTTCATTATTTATATCTGCAACTTTAGCAATGCTTTCGAATCTCTAAATAGTATCCTGAAGCTTGCCTGCAGAAAGATTCTACTCATGTTGTGCTAGAAAATTTGAGTAAAATGCATATCATTCACATATTTTCTTTACTGCCAGAAACTGGCTGATCTGGAGGCACGGCTTGTGAATTTAGACTCAGGAGACGCAGAGGTAGTCCGATCCACAATTGAAGAGTTCTCCGAGAAAATCAACCTCAACGAAGACAGCATTCTCAACAACAAGTAACACTCCTTTTTCTGTTACATTATATTTGCCTTTTTTTCATGCTATTTTAACTTTGTGGATATGGCTGATGTCTGCAGGCAGTCAATAATCAACGAGTGTTTCTCAAAAGAAAGTGTGAAGCAGATCATACAAGCATTCGTAAGTCATCCGATTTTCTTGGAACACAAGTCAAGTCCTTCCCCTGGTTTCTTCATAGGTATGTGAAGTATTTGTGGTGCTCTTACAGGAAGCTGAAGGTAGCAAAGAAGGAAATGAGTGGATAGCTCCAGTCATCAAAGGATTAAAACGATCCTCACCCACAGGGTTGAACATAACCCTACACTCGGTATGTTCTTCCTGTGAAATATGACTCTATTCTGTCATATGTTTGCTGTGATCTGCGCCTACGCTCAAAATATCCTTGTAGTGATGTTAAATCTTCTTACAGATCCGTGAAGGTAGAAAACAAACGCTAAGTGATTGCCTCAAGAAGGAGTTTCGGCTCACTGTGAATATCTTGAGGAACACCATATCCCCTGACGTGTATGAGGTAAAGAATAATAACAGATGCAAAATTTGAGATCCATTTCTTGTTTTGCTTTTTATCAAGAAAATGGTAGCATCATGTTCATAACACACAGGGTATAAGAGCTCTGACCATAGACAAAGACAATTCTCCAAAGGTTTGTTTTTACGCTCTAAAATGCAAAATATGTGTCTTACTTAGAAGCGAGATCGTGTCTAACATTTTTTGTGAACTTCTATGGTGCAGTGGAATCCAGCGACGTTAGATGAGGTTGATGACGAGAAAATCAACCTGGTGTTTAAGCCCTTAGAGGATGATATTGAGCTTCACATCCCTGAAACTGAAGAAAACAGGTCTGTTCAAGTGATGATAAACCCAACTCTCAAACTTTCTTTCCAACTGAGTTTTCTCTAAGAAACCAAATCCCTTTGGTATGTTTTTGATATGGGGCACTGGAAATTCACAGGTGGGGAAGCAAATACGAGACTTCAGGTTGTGCATCACTACGAGGATAGAAGAGAACAGAACTGAGCATTCTGTATGTTGTGTTTTTTGCTTCAGCTCACACTCGGTGCAGCGAGGATTACAAATGAGGGTTTGCTCAAGTCTGTGTGTAGAAGAGCAGGATTACATGGGGAGAATCAAGGAACTGCAGGAGCTTCTCGATCAGGTTCCACATTTTTTTCATCTTTTTTATTATGTTATGGAATTGGCAAGGCCACAGTTTTGTTGATATATTGCTACTGTAATTGTCAGGTGAGGACGATAGTAAAACCGGATTGCTCTCAAGATGTTTTGAAAGCAGCTTTGAGTGTTTTGGCTTCGGTGCATAATATCGAACTATGAGCGGTATATAATATGAAAACTTTCCTATAATCATAGCTGCATAATGAACGAAATTCGTTTATATTTGACAGTTAATTGTGTTTTGTGTTGATGTTTGATTACCAGTATGGCGTCATCAAGGGCTCTGATTTGTGAAACCGAGGCGTGGGAGGAATCGAAGGTATAGTCTTTTAATGATTTTCTCTATCTTAGTTTGTCAATGGTATGAGATGTAAATTTTTGAACTGTTCAGAGTTTTTGAACACTCTCACAGGGCCATGTTGAAGGTATTAGCAAGACTCATTTGCGTGATTCGATGAGTGATGTCGACAGATGCCAAAAGATGATGGTGTATGTGTTCATTTTGTTTGTTTCTTTTTTTGTCAAATGTGTTCTTTTCATTTTTGGTCTAAATATGGTTTGATATCGAACTATGTTGATGCCTTTATTAAATCATTCATTGCAATGTCAAATACCTTTAATGACTTTAAGATTAGCTTTCTTTCTGTATATAGAAGGTAGCTGCCCAAAAACATTGTCTTGTGTTTTCTTAGGAATGTGGATTTATGTATTCACTCTATTCCGTTTTACAATTATTTTATAATCTTATAAAACTACTACTTTCTTTTGTCCGTATTTTCTCAATTAAGAATGTAGGCACATCCAGACTTAAATTTTGCTTTAGCTATGCTTTTGTATTGGTTACATTATTTTCTACTATAGCAAAAAAATAGTAACAAATCTATCATACATACAAAACTCAAGGAAACAAACAACTAAAAATATCAACAAATACTCAAATAGTATACAATTTATTAGAAAAAGTAGTTAGTGAGTCTAAAAGCCAATTTGTATTAATCAGCATATGCATCTCAGCTTGCCCCATTGGTTTGTAAGCTTTGTCAGAAACTTGATCTCAATCATTTGGCATATGATTAAACATAAGTGTAGGGGATAGATAAATCACACTTCGATCACCATGATATTGACATTAAAACAATAAACCATATACAAATCCAACTTGAACCTCCCAAAGTATTAATAGCAAAAAAAGAACCTCTTAATTGGCAATGTTTTAAACAAATTATATATGACAAAACTATGACCAACAAAGGTAAAATAGTGTTACTGATTATATTATAAATATAATTTTTTTTATTCATGTTTTTATTGGAAATAAAAGAATATTTTAAAAAATTATACTAATATAATTCCGCGCATTGTGCGGGTACTCTCCTAGTAGAGTTAATTAAGGTCGAATAAGCTGATAACATAGGTTGCATGGAAATCCGTCGTAGGTACGTTATCCATTTCACGTTTCCAAAACGAAAACTTGTTGGAAAAGTTTAATAATTGGGTTTCATGACACGTGAGTCGTGACGCGTTCCTCACGCGCTCTCTATAGACACGCTGTGTTTAGTCAACTACTGAGAAAAGCTCCCAAACATAAAGAGTCTTTATATACATTAGAGCGAAGCCCGCGCAATGCGAAAATTGTGACTATTACAAAGTTTTATTACTTATATTTTAATTGTCATTTGAATTTTGTAAATATTTTCTCTTATATTTTTTCAAATATGTTAACGCGGTAGAAATATAAATGTATATTGCTTCCTTGCCTAAGACTTTTAACCTATACCCAAAATTTGAACCTATACCGACCCAAAATACTCTTACCCAATTGATTTTAGGTATATAGTAAATCACTCATTAAATAAATATTTGATACCCATGGAAATTAGGTAATAGCTGAATGAAATCAGATACCCCATATTATGAATTATGGATTATTGTTGACATTATAAATATATTTTTTAATAAGATTTCTAATATAATTTTTCAAAAAGATATTTTCTGGTCAATTTCAATCGGATCTCATATTACTTGCATCCAAATTGAATGAAAAATAAGAATATAAAAGTTGAAATATGAGCTATGTATGATTATTGTATAAGCATTATAAAACGTTCTAATGTAACATCATATAGTTAATACATTTTTACTTATGGCGTCATCTTCATATATACAATGGCATTTCCATATATATATATAGACAATGTGCATCTAATTTATCTTACACTTATCTCTCTCCAAACCAGCAAAGAACAAAAGTACAGAAGAAACCAAAAAACTCTCTCGTGTCTTTGCCACGTAGATATGGACGTCGAACATCACAAGTCCGGCTACATCGGTAGACCAAAGGTGGATATTCCACCAATAACAACAAATTCTGGAATTTAAGAGAAGAACACCTGTCCACTTAAGAAAAAAAAGGTCAAAAAAAATTGTTTTACGTAATTTGCATTGAAGTCAAGAACGTTTCATCTTCCTCGAGTTCTACCATTCTTCTTCCCTCTTCGTTCCGTCTCCCCAGATCCAGAAAATTTGCAAACTTGCTTCCGTCACTCTGATACAATTTGCAAAATTTTGAGTGACGTTGTCGTAGCTGTTGTCTTCTTCCTGCTTAACGACAGACCCAGATTTCACCATAATTTTGATTCATTAAATAAACGTCTTCACCTTTGATCAGCATCACTAAAACACAAGAACCCATCAAAGCTAACACCAAGTAGATAAAAAAATTTAACAATTTGACCCGTGAGAGTGACCCAATTCTAGTACTTTAAACAAACAATTTCTTTTTTCTATTTATTTTTTATATTTATTCAAAGATTTGAAAACATGATACGACTTGTTTTTAAAGATGTATATTTATAGTAGTGATTGAAACTTTCTGTTAATGATACAAACGATGTGGGACAAAAATCTGTATTCCTTCCTTTTTTTTATTTTGTCCCACATCGAAACATACACACAATAGAAGCTAACTTTTTCTTTATAAATAGGAAATGTGACTTCCTTTCATTTGCACAATATTGGACTAAATTCTAATGCCCATTACTTTTGGGAATAGAATTCTAAAAATTTATGTTTTATACTTGGTTTTGACGGGTAACAAGTCGAAACAATTACTTGCAAGTTGCAAGTAATCTAAATTTTGCCCAGTTCGAAATTTTATTATCCGTGCAAGGCGGGTCGTGTCGTGGGTAGGTCAAAATCCCGGGTACCCGACTCATGTCCAGCCCTAAAGATGAAGAGTTAAAAACATGTGTGATTTTTTTTTTGATGAAGAGATGCCACATGTCACTCTTCTGGAAAAAGTTATCCTGTCATTATAGTATAAATTAATACATCCTTTGTTGCACACAAAAAAAAAACATCCTTTTTGTTTTGTTTACTACGCTTATAAAACATTTCAACATACAGTAACTAATCTCGATGGGCCAACTCCAACCATAACAATTCTCAACCACAGAGTACGTACATCTCAATGTGCTCGATCCAGAATCCACCTTCGATTTTTTTTCGTAGTCACTAATTTGACGGAAATTACTTTTCCTTGAATAAGAATAGCATCCGTCATTATATGCTTAAAATTCGGACATTTACTACTAATAATAAACATGAATTTCTAACGTCAACCTCTGAAAGAAAACAAATTTCTTAGTAAGGAACGGTCTTTAACAAAAAAACAAAATAAAGGCTACGGTGGAAGCAACATCTATCATCTATGATATCAAATATCACTGCGTGGAATATTAATTAAATGCGAAATTTTCTCCAAAATAAAATTAATTAACTGCTTTTCCCCAATAATATATTAAATCCTTAGACAACCCTGTAACAAAAAATAATATATTAAATCCTTACCTTTGACTTGTGATCGTGCAAGATGTTATGTATATGTTCTAATTTGCATGGGATGAATTGCGGGGCAAATCTCCTTTGGCAGTAAAGCATTGTTCATACATCTCAACCATGATTTATATATATATAGACGTAAAGAACACCATCTGCCAATGGAGTATTTGCCCTGTAATCGAACCATGCATCATCGTCTCCGTCTTCACAAACATCGATATCAACATCGATATCGATCTTCCATACTTATATTTCATCTTAGGTATTTTATTTTGAGTAATGCTTTAGTTTCCGGCATAGCGAAACTATATATAGAGGGGCTGGGTGGTTTAATCTTATGCACATTTGTCTTATACAGTAGCATATTCGGTGGCACATCCCATGTTCCATAGAGCATATATGTACGCAGTCTCCTAAACGCAACCTCAAGTATAGGCATTCTACTTGTTCGTACTTCAATTTTCAAGTGGAGCTTTACTTTTATATTCTCTTTGGAATGACTACAAAAAAGAGAAGAGTTCGTCTAGAAATCGATGTTTCGTAAAAATGTGATAACTTTTTTTTTTTAATTGAATGTAAAATTAATTTAAACCCCCAAAAAATCACTTTTTTGTTCCATCAAGTGCAACTTAATTTTGAAAGATAGAAAGGAAATTGGAAATATAAAATCCTCTGAGACACCTCTGAGAAGCCCGAGATCATCTCCTACAAAAAGTCAAGAATACCGCGAGTATTTAGACAGGTCAACAAGAGGAGCACAAGACACACAAAGATACTATCGGGAAGAGGAGCGAAGGTACCATGGAGAGCGCAGATCAAACAGAGATCAAGCAATTAGACATTACCCTCCTCCAATGCAATGGCGCGAGAAATCTAGAAGTCAGACGCCTGCCCAACAAGCGGCATCGGCTAGATCAGAGACATCACGGCCAACAACGCATAGAAGAAGCCCAATGGACAGAAATCCACTGGTGACACCAATCCCAACAACGGAAGAAGTGATGCAAGAGCTCCAGGATGTCACCATCCGTTACATCAACTGCCCCGACCCTGCAGAGAGTGCAGCAAGAAGACAAAGGGTTCAGATCTCTGAGGAACAAGGTCTGATGGAAGAGACGGCCGCAAATATAATAGCAGCTGCGACAGAGTCATACCACAGAACGCTCAACTTTGAACAAGAGGAAGAACTCGCGCTAGTGCTAAGGCAACAATCTCCTCAGGAAATCCCAGAACCACCGGAAGTACAAAAGAAAAGGAGAGGCAGACCACCTAAATCCAAGAGAAACAGTCCAGCGGTGGGAATCAGCCTCAGACAAAGAAGATTAAACCACACTCAAAACTCACCCCACGTCAGAACAAAAACCACAAAGAAAACCAACAATGTTCCAGATAGAGCATGGGGAGCAAGTCAACAGAATACTAACCTGGCTGATCCAAGAGAACCAGGCCCCAACAACAGAAGGACAACTTTGGAGACGAATTTACCGGCTCTCCCGAGAGCTACGGGAAATCTTCGTCCGAGGGATCCATCAAACAACACCAGATCGGTGGATTTTCACAATCCACCAGATCCTCTTCCTTAAAAATAGTGGCGTGGAACTGCTGTGGTTTGGGGAACCCACAGACAGTTAGTAGACTGCGAGAGATCCGGAAAAGCATCTCTCCTGACATTTTGTTCCTCACTGAGACAAGAAATGCAGATGAATTTGTTCTCAGTAAACTAGACTGGATGGGATACACATCACACTTACTAATCTCACCTCAAGGGCATGGAGGAGGTGGCCTGGCACTTTTCTGGAGCCAAGGCTTAGAGAGAGAGACACTCCGAACCTGCAAAAATTACATAGACACCAAAATCAAGGCGGAGGGGAAAAGCTTCTATACCACTTTCGTGTATGGAGAACCAGATCAATCGCAGAGAAGGGGAGTTTGGAATGAAATCAGAGAGCATGTAGGAGATCGCGCAGAACCTTGGCTCTTGACTGGTGATTTCAACGAGATAATAAACTCCACGGAGAAGAAAGGAGGGCCACCACGACCGGAGGGCTCTTTTGAAGACTTTCGCACCTTCATGTCAGAAGGAGATCTTTATGACCTACGATACTCTGGGAACTTCCTGTCATGGAGGGGACAAAGAGGGAACTACCTAGTCAGATGTAGACTAGACAGAGCTATGTCGAATAGTAGTTGGGCAGAGGAGTACCCATCAGGAAGAAGCGAATACCTGAAGTTCGAGGGATCGGACCACAGGCCAATTGTCACAATCTTCGACCCACTCAGGAAGAGAAAGAAAGGATTGTTTCGCTACGACAGACGGCTGAGAAACAATGAGGAGGTTCAGAGCCTAGTCTTCAAAGCCTGGAACACATCTGCAACAGATGCAGTGGAGACCAAAATTACAAGATGTAGAAGCGCAATAATCAAATGGAATAAAGAAAAGCATCTAAACAGCAAGAAACTAATAGAAGACTGCCGGAATAAACTGGAGGAGGCAATTGTAAGTCCTCACCCAAACCCAGATTTGATCTCAAGCATCAACGCTGAACTCCAAGAAGCCTACAAAGAAGAAGAGGGATTTTGGAAACAGAGAAGTAGACAACTCTGGTTAGCTTTGGGAGAAAAGAATACAGAATTCTTCCACGCAGTAACGAAGGGAAGGAAGGCAATAAACAAATTCTCTGTGATAGAAGACGAAAATAACAACCCAGTTTTCGAAGAAGGAAAGATCACGGAAGTGATAACAAAATTCTATCAAACCCTATTTACCTCGGAGGGGGGAACGAGCCACGATACGGTGTGGGAAGCTCTAAAGCCTTGCATCTCGGAAGAGGTAAATCAGTCACTGATAAAGATCCCTACAGCAGAGGAGATTAGAGCGGCATGCTTCTCTATTCATCCAGGGAAGGCTCCAGGCCCTGATGGCTTCTCAGCATGCTTCTTTCAGTCTAACTGGGCCACTGTGGGAGGGAAACTCGTTGAGGAGATTCAACAGTTCTTCATCTCTGGAGACCTGCCAAGGAACATCAATCGCACACATGTGAGGCTCATACCAAAAATCCCAAGCCCCAAGAAGGTGGCAGATTATAGGCCTATAGCTCTTTGTAACGTTTATTTCAAAATCATCTCGAAGATTCTGACCTTCCGTCTACAACCTGTACTCAATGATATCGTTACGGAGAACCAATCTGCGTTCGTACCACAAAGAGCTATCTCCGATAATGTCCTTATCACACATGAAACTCTCCACTACCTGAAGACATCAAAAGCAAAGAAGAGATGTTACATGGCTGTAAAGACGGATATGAGCAAGGCTTATGACAGGATAGAATGGGATTTTGTCAAAGCTGTCATGGAAAGACTCGGGTTTCACAATAAATGGATCAATTGGATCATGCAATGCTTGAGCTCAGTCACTTATACATACCTTGATTAATGGCTCGGCACAGGGATATGTGCAACCCAGCAGAGGCCTACGCCAAGGAGATCCTCTATCGCCATATATCTTCATACTCTGCAGTGAAGTTCTATCAGGCTTGTGTAACAATGCTGAACAGAATGGAACCCTTCCTGGCATCAAAGTCGCAAAAAGGAGCCTGAGAGTAAACCATTTACTCTTCGCAGATGATACGATGTTCTTCTGTAGATCAGACCCCCACAGCTGTGATGAACTCATGAGGATCATCCACAAGTATGAGACCGCCTCGGGACAGAAAATAAATAAAGAGAAGTCAGCCATAACATTCTCCTCAAAGACAGCGGCAAGCACAAAGGACAGAGTAAAGATAAGATTGGGGATCCAGAAAGAAGGTGGTTTGGGAAAGTACTTAGGCTTACCGGAACACTTTGGCAGGAGGAAAAAGGACCTATTCAGTATGATTGTGGACCGGATCAAACAGAAGTCGCATAGTTGGTCTTCTCGGCTCCTCTCTCAAGCGGGACGCCTTGTTATGCTAAAGTCCGTGCTTGCGGCGATGCCAACCTACACGATGACATGCTTTAAGTTACCAACCTCGATGTATAAGCGTATCCAATCAACTCTCACCAGATTCTGGTGGGACGGAGCCCAAGAGAACAGAAAGATGAGTTGGATATCATGGACAAAGATGATAAAATCAAAAAGAGATGGAGGGCTAGGATTAAGGGACTTACAGCACTTCAATGACGCTCTCCTGGCAAAAATAAGTTGGCGGATCCTCCAAAATCCCACATGTCTACTTGCACGAGTCCTCCTAAACAAATATTGCCACGACAAGAGTTTCTTGGACAGTGTACCTCCTAACTCAGCCTCGCATGGATGGAGAGGGATATGCATAGGCAAGGAGCTTCTTAAACCAAACTTAGGAAAAGCAATAGGAGATGGAGCCACGACAAGCCTCTGGTCTGAACCTTGGCTCTCACTTGACCAACAAGATACACCAATGGGACCTCCCACGGAACAAACGAAAGATCTACTAGTGTCATGCCTCATCTCACCTGCAACGGGACAATGAAACAAGGAGAAAATTAGAGACATTCTGCCGCTCCACGAGGAACAGATACTGGAACTACGACCAAGCACAAAAGGAGCAAGAGACAAGACCATCTGGCTACACACGGAGGATGGAATCTACACAGCTAAGTCGGGCTACTATCAAGGGCTACATGCAGACGAAGACATGGGACCAGCTCTAGAAGCTATAGAGATGGAGGGGATTGAAGAAATACTACTCAGGGGATTCGATTGGAACAAACAAATATGGAGGCTCAACACAGGACAAAAAACCAAACTCTTTATGTGGAAAGCTATGAGAAACGGGTTACCTGTGGGAGAGAACCTCCGAGCCAGGAATGTAAACACAATGGTGCGATGCTCAACTGTGGGGAAGCAGAAACAACACTCCACCTCCTCTTTAGCTGTGATTTCGCGATCAAGGTTTGGAACTTGATCCCCTGCACACAAACTTTTGACTCTCGTTTAGTGCAGAGTGTGAGGAGCGGAATTGAAGCTACAAAGGATGCAATTTGCTTACCTACCACCGGAATTAGCACCGGGCCGATATCCCTGTGGGTAGTCTGGTCAATCTGGAAGAGCAGGAACCAGCGGGTTTTCGAGTCTCGAAGGATCACCCCAGAGGATACGGCAACCCAAGCCCTAAGAAACGCCAGAGAATGGCAAACATCGCAAATCAAACCACCGGAACGGAAGATCCGATCTCAATACCGACCTCCGACTCATCCCCTCACAGTCACATGCAACACCGATGCAGCCTGGAACAGAGAGAGGAAGACGGCGGGATTTGGCTGGATTTTCAGCTCGAGAGAAGGGGTCCGGATGACGCAGGGATCCGCATCGGAGAGCACAATCAAATCAGCGCTGCTGGCTGAAGCAATTTCAGTACACAGAGCGCTACAACACGCCAAACACCTCGGTCTCACACACATCTCGGTCGCTTCAGATTCGCAACTGCTAATCAAAGCAATCATCAGAGGAATTCCACACAAGGAACTCCACGGGATTCTTCACGACATCCTGGATCTAGCTTGTTTCTTCTTGAAAATCAGTTTTCGATATGTTCCAAGAGAATCAAATGTAATCGCCGATAAGATCGCGAAAAACGCTCTGGCTACACTCGGTCTAGGACCGGTTTAATCTGAATGGAATTATTATTTTGCACAAAAAAAAGGAAATATAAAATCCTAGGTTGCTTTAAACCAAAGGTGGAGGGTGTGTTTTCATATGTTGTTGTTAATCCGTCTTTACGTATGTCACAGATGAGAAACCATAGGTCCATAAGGACAATCATATGGACTCTTGCTTTCAATTAAAGATATTCCTAAAAATGGAAAGAAAGAATTGTGGAGAAAAAAGTATAATGTTCTCAATTTAATTAATGGCCCACGCTTCTATAATAAACACTTTTAAATTTCATAATAAGTGTCGTTTAAGGTTTTCTCACACATATTAAGAAAACATGTTAAAATTTCTATAATACCTCTATATAATACATTACAGAATTTTTTTTTTGGTTAATTCAATAAATGAATGGGGTTAAATCTGGAAATTATATTAAAATTTTGCATTGAAAATGTAAAACGACACTTACAATGAAACAAAAATTAAACTCTAAAACGACACTTATTATGAAACGGAGAGAGTAATGTATAATGTTCTCGATTTAAAATACAAATTAAAATCCTTTTGTTTTTAAGTTATAATTTTTTTCTTTTGAATCTGATCAAATTGATGTATCTCCAGGAGAGTGGTCCACATTATCTAATCTCTTTGATGGGTTTAGAATCTTGAGAAACAAAATTGGTAATTTTCTAATTTGTTTTTCTTTGTTTTCACAACGTTTGAGCTGTAGAACCAATACAAAAATTAATTATATACAAAAAAAATCAAATAGATAGATGAGTGGCCAATACTAATCTATTAATCGATATTAATGAACAATGTGAGCACATCAATTCTTATATACCTTTATTATGTTTATATTATTAATTGAGAAGTACATGAAAATTTTATAACTAAAAAAGCAATATAATAATAAAGAGAAAGTGTTTGGCAACAGATTTAATGAGGATCAATCTAGTATATTGTAATGTTTGGATACAAGAATAAGAGAAAAAACTATTTGGATAGAAGAATAAATGGAAAAAATTGTTTGGATACAAGAATAATAACTTAAAACTAACCGATGGTTTAGAAAATTTCTGTTTTCCGGCTCTTAAAAATCTGCAAAAAAAAAACTTAACATAATCTAACGATAATATCAAATCAATAAAATATGATTTTGGATTTTCGGGTTTAAAGTTTTTTTTTTAATTTTAATTCGGGTTCAATTCAGGTTTCTTTTAATTTTTTGTTTGGTTTTGAGAAATTTTAAGAAATACACCTCTTAAGGTGAAAATTTTCAAAAGTATACCTATAGTGTGGCAATTTCAAAAATACATTTTTTTCTAATTTTAATATATATGTTTGGGTTCACTAATCCTAGATTAGGGTTTAGATTTTGGGGTTTAGTGTTTAGATTTAAGGGTTCAATGTTAGGTTTTAGGGTTTTGGGTTTATATTTTAGGGTTTAAAGCTCTTTTACTCTATGAAAAAACTGTAGTTTTGAAAATGGAAACCATAGATGTGTATTTTTGAAAATTGGCACCTCAAAAAGATATAATTTTGAAATTTCCCCTTTGGTTTTGGATTTAGTGATATAAAAGTCGTTCAAGTTTTTTAATTTTCTGAATCGGGTTTGGTTTGGGTTTTTCAAAATAAGTTCATGTTTGGGTGAAAATCTCATACCTAATTTTATAGATATATAGAGATATAGAAATTGTTCGTTTTTTTTTTTTAAATTTCGTTTCGGTTTGAGTTCGAGTTTTTTTTGGTTCAGTTCAGGGTTTTCAGGATTTTTTAGATTTTCGATTTTCGGATTTAGATATATTAAAAAAGTTTGAGTATTTTAAAATTTTGATTAGGGTTTTTAGGTCGGATTAGGGTTTAGGGTCAAAAATTTAGAGTTTTTTTATTCGGTTCAGGGTTTTCGGGATTTTTTGGATTTCAAATTTTTGGGTTTAAACATATTAATAACGTTCAGGATTTTAAAATTTTTGATTAGGGTTTTTGGGTTGGGCTCAGGTTTAGGATTTAGATTTTCTTCACAAAATTGCAACGTCACACTGCGCGTTGGCGTGGGTCCTCTACTAGCTATATTATTAATTGAGAAGTACATGAAAAATTTATGCCCAAAAAATCAATCTAATTATAAAGAGAAAGTGTTTGACAGTATATTTAATGAGGGTCAATTTAGTACATTGTAATGTTTGAATACAAGAATAAGAGAAAAAGCAATTTGGATAGAAGAATAAATGGAAAAAATTGTTTGGATACAAGAATAATAACTTAAAACAGACCGATGATTTAGAAAACTTCTGTTTTCCAGCTCTTAAAAATCTGCAGAAAAAAAAACTTAAGATAATCTAATAATAATACCAAATCAATTATAACACCCCGACCGCCCCTCCCGGTAAGTCACCCACACCCTTTCTCTGGCTCCGCAGGCCCCTCTTGGCCCATAGGCCTCACCCGTGTCTGACGGCCGGTCCGTTATTTTTGAGAGGTTCTAATGACTTGTTTACTATGCCTGCAATCAACACCTGACATTTCCCCGTGTTTTGGCCTCACTCACACGATTTCGGAAACCGCTTCCCGGAAGGTCACCCATCCTTCAACTACTCCAGCCCAAGCACGCTTAACTCTGGATTTACTTATAGACCTTTGACCGAAAAGGTAAGTACACTTTGTTGACATAGGTAATCAAATCAATTCTCTTAAGCCTCTCCTCATTTATCACAAACCGGGATGTTACATCAATAGAATATGATTTTAGATTTTCGGGTTTAAAGTTTTTTTTTAAAAATTTAATTCGGATTCAATTCAGGTTTTTTTTTTGGTTTTTGGGTTTAGTGATATAAAAGTCGTAAGTTTTTTAAATTTCTGAATCGGTTTGGTTTGGGTTTTTCTAAACAATTTCGGGTTTGGGTGAAAATTGATATACCCATATCTTTCATGTTTTTATCAAGGTTTTCACTATGTTTTTAATACAAATAATGTGGTTTTTATGCCCAAGAGGTAGTTTTCTTGTATATTCTGGTTTTGAGCATCATTCAGGTCAAAATAGCAAAGAAGAGTCAAAATGGAGCAAAAAGAGTCAAATCACCAAGTTCCCAAGTCTAGAGCACCAAATCTACATTTCTCGCTAAAGACCAAACCGGAGCATCCGAAGTACGACCGCATATTCATGCCTTCCCGACGTCCAAAAGTCATGTTTCTTATATGGAAAGATAGATATTTGAGTCATGACCCGCGGCGAAGTGGAAAGAGGTCATTTGGATCACTCGTTGGACCGGAACTTATTTTCTACCAAGACATGTCCGACGAGCGCCTAAGTAGAGCCCATGGAGACTTTGATGGATCAAGAGGCCCGAGATACCGCGCCCAAGGCCTTGGCTCATCTTGACACTAGCATAACTCAATCCAGAAGCTTCCATTGGCCTGAACGCGGCCCATTCAAGAACTTGGAGAGCAAGCTCAAGCGGCTAAAGAGAAATGGAAACTTTCCTCTTCTGCGCGCGCTCAACTTTGCCGACCTAGACCCGCTCTCTACCTATATATACTTGCTTTTAGCCTCTTGTAATAAGAATCACCAGCCGCATAACAAGAAACACTTATTCAATAAAGTTCGGAGCCACTTAGGTGGTCTCCTTCTTCTTTCTTTTCTTCTTTTGCATTTGTATATAGCTTGCATGTTTCAATTTATATAGTCTAGAAGTAGAGATTTCTCCCTAAGGGTGAGGCGGTTTAGTCTATATTCCGCCGCCTCTCTCTCTAAGGATTCATGAGACTTCATCTACTATCTAAGACTCATTGTTGAATTATGGATCCTTCCAATGAGGACGTGATATAATGGCCATCTTGAATCGATTGTTAAAAGGGGAAACCCTATGGTTCTCCATCTTTATTTATGCTTAATGCTTGTTGCTAGAGTAGCTAACTAGTGACTTGATTTTAGGTTGATATACTCTCCAAAAGCTTGTTATATCTCCGGACACAATATTTGATGGGCAAATCGTTTTAGGCTACGAAAGTAGACCTAAAGAGTTTTGTGAACAATCATTACTTGGATGTAATGCATGTCTCACTCTACAATGACCAACGAAAGCTGAGCCCATTGGTTTAAGAGACATAGGGGATTGGAACCACGAAAGTGGAATAATCCTTCCTTAGTGTTTTGAGTTCAAAAGAATCGGATTTTAACAAACTTTTCAATCGACTTGGCTCATGTTTTCAAAAGAGTTTTCAATAGTTCAATAATGTTGCTTGTATAGAATTGCATTGTTATTTGCTTTTGCGTGTTCTAAACAAACACAAACCCTTGCATCTTTTGATTTAGCTTAGTCATTTAAACTCTATGATTATGTAATGTGTGAAATCCAATCCCTTGTGGTTCGACCCCTAAATACTACAATTATATGTTGTGCACTTGCAACACTAGTTGTCTTAGGGAATTATTACTTGTACTCATCCCATAGATGCAGCGCATCAAGTTTTTGGCGCCGTTGCCGGGGATTGCATCATAAACACTTGCATAGTCTTGTTTAAAACTAAGTCTAGATCTTGGTATTTTCGAATACTAACTTTTTCTTTTTAAATCTTGTGTTTATAGGTACTTGGAGATGAATCACAACACCAACATCCACTTTGGGAACCGGACACTGATCCCACACGATCTCCACGGCCGGAGTTACCAAGACCCAGCCGTAAGCATCGTGCCACATCCGTTCCCTCCCAACCGCGCTCATCCGACGTTTGAAGGACCTAGCCGAGACGAGCATCATTACCATCATCATCAAAACCGACCTCCGGTTTATCATCAACCACCTAGACCAGTGTTGCATTCACACCACGACCATGTTCTCAATAGGCGGAGAGATAGCCATTTCGATGCCGTGCTTGAGGGTTTCATGGAGAGCCAAAGAAGAACTAGCCGCGACATTGAGACAAAGCTAGAGTTCACGCGATACGAACTAGATGGAAGACTTGGAGAACTCTCTACCCAAATAGAGAGAGTAGAGTCAAGATGCTTGGACATGGAGGAAGATTTGAAGAAGCAAGGCGAGGCCATTGAAGACAATAGGAGAGCGATACACTTTACCAAAGTTTCTACCAAGGAGATGGATAATCACTTAGATGAGAAGATCTCAAGTCTTGATAACAACCTCGATGGCACCACCAAGAGTCTCAATTCAATAACAGCAGTAGCTCATCAAGCTAAGAGGGAGGTAGCCGAAGTGACACTAAAGGAGAGGCAATGTTACTCGACAATGCTTACATTGGTGGAAGGGCAAAAACAAGTGAAGGCACAAATCCGAGATTTACACATCTCTCTAGACAAGAGGAGCCAAGATATTCAAAGAAGAGCTAGAGGGCTTGAAGACAAAGTAGATGGAGTCTCCAAGGAAGTCAAGGATTTAACCACTCGCTTAGCCAACTTGGAAGAGAAGGTCTTGACCGAGACAAAGACGACCGTTCCTAAGCAAAACTATGCCGCGCCCGTCTTTACTATAAGAGAGACCGACCCAAGAGTGATTTGGGATGAAGAAGAAAGTAGAGCTGATCAAGAAAGAGCCACAAGCTAACCACTGGAACAAGAGAAAGATAGCACCAAAAGGAAGAACCCTTACTCAAAGGTCTTCACAACCGCCTCCCACCAAGGAGAAGAGGAAGACAAGATCATCACTTGAAGAGATCATAGATGATTTCAACTTTATGGCGAGGAGATTCCCTTATGGTGTGCCGTTTGATAATGCTTGCAACAAGAGTCCATTCATGCAAGACCTAGCTTGGACACAAGATTGGAGTCTAGCTGAATTGGAAAAGATGTACGAGGAAGCAAGAAAGGGGATGCCTAAACCTAGGTTTCTACACAAGCTTCATGACCCAGGTTACTTCCTTATACATTTCTCTATCAATGGAAGCTACTTTGATGATGCTCTTTGCGATTCCGGTTCTAGTGTGAACCTTATGCCGGCCGAGATAGCCAAGAAGTTGGGATTGATCAATTCAATTGTGAAATCTCGAATGGATTTAAAGCTAGCTGATTCATCATTGACCGAACCACTTGGAGAGGTTAAAGACATTCAGCTTGATTTTGGAGGCTGCATAGTTCCAGCCAACTTCTATGTAGTAACCATGAAGGATCCGGAGGACTTAAAGCTTTTGCTTGGAAGATCATTCCTAGCCACAGCTGGAGCGATCATGGATTGGCCTAATAGAAGAATCTCTCTAGCCAATGTTGACAAGGACACCTTCTACGATGCTGCACCTCCCGGTTTCTCATCCAAGCGATTTCGCTACACAAGTGGAGGAGAGTGCTCACAAGTAAGAGGAGAGTCGCATGGCTACTTGATCAAGGAAGTTCTACAGGACAAGATGCACTTGGAATCATCAGGCAACAGGAAGTTCTTGGAGCCACCAATCCTACCTAACTAAGAACACAAAGGAGTCGAGCTACAAAGACTTAAAACAAGCGCTTGTGGGAGGCAACCCACATTTTCTTATCCCTTCCTCTTTTTAATTTTTTTATTTAAACTATTTACTTGTTCTATTTATTGCTCTTGAATTTTTGAGAGTTTAATAAATTTTAAAAAAAAAAAAAAAATATACTTGTTTTAGGAAAAAGTACCAAAAAGGAGGCTTACATGAAAATGCATTGGAAAAGCTACATCGCCACCAATCGGCACAGGATCAACCATCTTTGGTCTAAGTGTCAAGTATTGAGTCTAGTTTGAGTCCCACCCAAGTCCCACCCATGTTTCAAGAAGCAAAGAATCCAAGAAGGGCCATGGCACAACCACATCCGGCCATATCTTTCATGTTTTTATCAAGGTTTTCACTATGTTTTTAATACAAATAATGTGGTTTTTATGCCCAAGAGGTAGTTTTCTTGTATATTCTGGTTTTGAGCATCATTCAGGTCAAAATAGCAAAGAAGAGTCAAAATGGAGCAAAAAGAGTCAAATCACCAAGTTCCCAAGTCTAGAGCACCAAATCTACATTTCTCGCTAAAGACCAAACCGGAGCATCCGAAGTACGACCGCATATTCATGCCTTCCCGACGTCCAAAAGTCATGTTTCTTATATGGAAAGATAGATATTTGAGTCATGACCCGCGGCGAAGTGGAAAGAGGTCATTTGGATCACTCGTTGGACCGGAACTTATTTTCTACCAAGACATGTCCGACGAGCGCCTAAGTAGAGCCCATGGAGACTTTGATGGATCAAGAGGCCCGAGATACCGCGCCCAAGGCCTTGGCTCATCTTGACACTAGCATAACTCAATCCAGAAGCTTCCATTGGCCTGAACACGGCCCATTCAAGAACTTGGAGAGCAAGCTCAAGCGGCTAAAGAGAAATGGAAACTTTCCTCTTCTGCGCGCGCTCAACTTTGCCGACCTAGACCCGCTCTCTACCTATATATACTTGCTTTTAGCCTCTTGTAATAAGAATCACCAGCCGCATAACAAGAAACACTTATTCAATAAAGTTCGGAGCCACTTAGGTGGTCTCCTTCTTCTTTCTTTTCTTCTTTTGCATTTGTATATAGCTTGCATGTTTCAATTTATATAGTCTAGAAGTAGAGATTTCTCCCTAAGGGTGAGGCGGTTTAGTCCATATTCCGCCGCCTCTCTCTCTAAGGATTCATGAGACTTCATCTACTATCTAAGACTCATTGTTGAATTATGGATCCTTCCAATGAGGACGTGATATAATGGCCATCGAAAATCGATTGTTAAAAGGGGAAACCCTATGGTTCTCCATCTTTATTTATGCTTAATGCTTGTTGCTAGAGTAGCTAACTAGTGACTTGATTTTAGGTTGATATACTCTCCAAAAGCTTGTTATATCTCCGGACACAATATTTGATGGGCAAATCGTTTTAGGCTACGAAAGTAGACCTAAAGAGTTTTGTGAACAATCATTACTTGGATGTAATGCATGTCTCACTCTACAATGACCAACGAAAGCTGAGCCCATTGGTTTAAGAGACATAGGGGATTGGAACCACGAAAGTGGAATAATCCTTCCTTAGTGTTTTGAGTTCAAAAGAATCGGATTTTAACAAACTTTTCAATCGACTTGGCTCATGTTTTCAAAAGAGTTTTCAATAGTTCAATAATGTTGCTTGTATAGAATTGCATTGTTATTTCTTTTGCGTGTTCTAAACAAACACAAACCCTTGCATCTTTTGATTTAGCTTAGTCATTTAAACTCTATGATTATGTAATGTGTGAAATCCAATCCCTTGTGGTTCGACCCCTAAATACTACAATTATATGTTGTGCACTTGCAACACTAGTTGTCTTAGGGAATTATTACTTGTACTCATCCCATAGATGCAGCGATATCAAGTTTTTGGCGCCGTTGCCGGGGATTGCATCATAAACACTTGCATAGTCTTGTTTAAAACTAAGTCTAGATCTTGGTATTTTCGAATACTAACTTTTTCTTTTTAAATCTTGTGTTTATAGGTACTTGGAGATGAATCACAACACCAACATCCACTTTGGGAACCGGACACTGATCCCACACGATCTCCACGGCCGGAGTTACCAAGACCCAGCCGTAAGCATCGTGCCAACACTCGCATCCACATTGGCCTCACTCGCCACGGATACAGACTGGGTCACTGACGCAGCGCCACACTCGGCGCCACACTCTCTCCCGACTCCTCCGGAAGTCCACGACCTTGGCCTGATCGGCCTCCAGCTCTATCACTAGCTCTGCCGCCACGACCTCTAGCATCACGTCCTCTCGCGCCACGACCTCTAGGAGCTTCATCCATCTCACTACATTGACCCGAACATGAGCAACTAGACAATAAACACAAAAACCCAAACACCAAAAACTCACCGCGGAATCTCCTATAGCTGATGATACTAAGCCTAGCAATTCTAACAGTCCTAAAACCGTCTAGCTCTGATACCAAAATGAAACAACCAACATTTCGTAAAGCTTTTCAAATGTTTTCATTGTTTATAACTTATATCTTATACTTCTTTTGAAACAACCAACATTTTTTTTTTTAAAAGAAATAAATATTAATCAATTCTAGTGAAGGTCTTTAAAAATAAATTAAATAAATAAATCAAATAGTAATATTAATTCAGTTCAGCAGAAGCAAATAAATAATTAAACAAGTCTAACAACTTAAACAAATTCAAATGAAGTAAAGCAAAACAATAAATCCTATCATCCCCTCTTCAGCCTTGATTCCACGATCACATAAACCTTTTACTTGTAACACATCGGAATGGAATTGTATAAGTATTTAATAAATACTTAGTGAGGCAATCACCATTCCTACATGTCAATTACGGAATTTACTAGACATTTAAATAACTATTAATAAATCCAATAATTATTAAATTCCATTTTCTAATTATTAAATAATTTTTAATAATTAAATAATACCTTTTCATAATGAAAATAATTAATATAATTATTTTAAACCATTTATTTAATTAAAATACTCATTAATTAATTAATTCCGAAAATACCAGATAACCAAATTAAACCCATTAAATAATTCAATTAAACCGGAAAATCACTTAATTCAAACCGGAAATCAATTTCCAATCGTACCAGTCGAACCGGTTGAGCGACACTAACGAGAAAGAAACGCCGCCAATGTGTCGTTTTTTATATTTAAAATATTTAAGAATCTCATTGTATAATTATTTTTGTGATTCAAAATTTATAAATAGTCATTACCGTATTTCATTTGCATATATGACAAATTACGAAGATAGAATGAAATATTTGTTACCGTTTTAGTGGACATACTGTAAATTAAATCTGACTGTGTCATTGAATCTTTCATATTCACTTCACTTGTACTGTTTCTGTTTGAATCATGCATATATTAATTAGAACTAATTCTTACATCTGTTTAGTAAATAATAAAGTTATGTTTGTCAGAATCCTAGTCGTATATCGATTCAAAGGTTTTCTATTGTACAATATCAAAAGAGCCAATGACTTTTAACCTATTTACACTACACAAACATGACTTTTAACCTAATTCTTCTTGCCGGAAAGAGTAAAATTACATATTTACATACAGATATCTTTGCACAAAAAAACATAAAGATATTTACTAATAAAGGCAATAAGATGTTTATGCTCATGATCTCTCTCAATCTTGAATGACCCTAAACCGACTGAGGATAAATTCTAGACAGAGAAGATATCGATATGAGACCAAATACACTGGACACCGTACTGGTGGTCTTTAATTTCAATCACATTGGTCTTTCACACTTTGTAATTGAAGCCTGATAGGCCAAAGCAATCCAATCAATAACCATTCAAAGATCTCGTCTTCTTAATGTTTAGTGACTTCTATCATTGTAATGATTCCGTAAAAATGTTATCTCCATTCTCACTGATGACTGTAGCTAGGACTCAGAAAAACTTAATCTTCATTTTTATTATGATTCACCACGCAGCAGCCACCACACGCACCCAAACCTCCAAACAACGACAACCGGCCTCAAATTCAAACACCAAACACATAAATCGCCTCAAGAAATCTCTCCTCTTCTCAATCGCCCACTAAACTACAAAATGGAGATGAAGAACGGTGGCTGCGCGAGTTTTTATTCGTGACCCGAGGACTTCCAGCCCAAACCGAGCTAAAACAGATTTCAATTCACTCAAACTGAACCGGGTCCGATTTCAAATCGCTGTGTCGACCGACACACTTCCCTTGTGTGGCTCAACACAGCTTCCAGCAGCTGACAGACTGATTTACGGATGTTACATGAATAATACAAATCAGCCTCATTATGCTATTCATTCACATACCGTTTTGTCTCGTCCCTTTCAGCCTCGTTCTGTTTTTTTTCTGTCTCGTATTGCCCCATCCCATCCTTTCTCGTATTAAACTATTAAAATCTATTTGATAAAACTAAAATTATTAAATTAGAATTTATTTAGATTAATATATAAACTATTTTCTTATACAAAATGACTTTTCAAATTCTATTATGATTAAGTGATAGATGTAATAAATTATTAGTCTTAAAAGAGAATTGGAAGAGTATTGTTTAAAAGAGAGTTTACTGACGTGACACTCCCAGAAGAGATCCTAACTGTGTTTTACATATATAGAAGAGAGCAAAACGCAAACGAATAAAATTATTTGTTCCATTTTCTAAATGTTAGCTATTATAGTCTATATAAATAAATAAGTTTGATATACCAAAAAAAGGGAAGAATACTAAAATACTAATCTTAAAACACACAGAAAATTATCAGATAAATAGCGGAGTAGCCAACATTACTACTAATGTGAATCGATATTGGACCCTACACAATTGTATATCATATGACTCCACTATCAAACAGAGCTGATTATATTCATTAACATTAACGGACGATTGTTACAAGTTATCTTTGGTGTGGTTGGATATTCTTCAGCTTATGCTGTACCTACTTAACGCTGGGAACTTTTTGTTTTGTGTCATTGTTCAAACCAAATCTCAAATCCTAAAAGGTGATACAAGAATAGGATACAAAGTATGTCATTTTACTAAAATGTACTTATACCTTTTATTTTATAGACAAATTCATTTAAACGAAAGGATCTCCACAAGTAATGACTCTAGCTATATTTATATAGTCAATTTTTTTGATAATATTTATATAGTCAATTTCTTTAGTGTACTCATTATATTTTGACAGGATTCGACATTTAGTATTTTTCAAAGATGATTAAGTTTATTCATTAGCATAAAATATATATGTATATAGTTTCAGAGAGTAAATTGCAGTTTTGTGTTTCTTCATTTATGCGTCTTCATGTGGAAGCTTAATAAAACAGAAAGAACAATCTCAAGGATCTTCTATTTTCAAGAATCACTATCTACTTTTTCCTTTTTTTTTCCAAATTGAGCCTTCTTTTTTTTTCTCCCTTATCGTTACTTTACATAGAGCTCAAGTAATGATCTTTATTTAAGAATGTCTGACCATAAAACTTGTGGCATGAAATATTATTCCTTCGAAAATTATCCGGAGAAGAAGAGATCATTCGCAGAATAAAACCTCAGTATATTTACGTTGCACTATAGCATTGTACCGCGGAATATGCTTCTCCCAAGGATTTTATAAATAGAAACATTGAATTTTTCAGGTTACAATTGTGGAGAGCTGAGATGTAATCAAAGGTGAAAATGCATTACAGGGTAAGATCTCTATTGGCAGGAAACCATTACTTGATCTTTGCAGCTTTTTTATGCATTGGTTTGTAGTGATTTCTCTGCCAAAGGAGATTTGCCCGGCAATTCTTCTACGCCAATATTTTAATAAGTTACATGTGATCGATCGATCAATATCTGCAAATACGTAAACTCCATATGTGTGTGGCCAGATGTGGTGTTCTCTCTTCTTCTTTGTATGAACGTACAAGGTGAGACATATCTTACAGATAAAAAAAACTTTGGTTAAAGTTATATTATGTTCTTTGTTTTCATCTATTGTCAGATAGCGGTTTTCTTGCTTTTCACACATTAAGATTTTCTGAAGCCAAGTCCGTACAGATCAATATTTACTTCGCCAACAACATTTTCTGAAGCCAAGTCCGCTACTCTCCTTTACTCTTTTAGCCTTAATATGTTTTGGTTAGCCAAAATATTAAAGTTGATCATTTTCCCTGTTAAAGTAGCCTTAATATTTATTGTTTTATAGAAAATTTTAGTTATAATACTTGCATATTAGTTTAAAGAGGTCGGAAAAAATTAAGCTCCTCCTTTTTCTTCTTTACAAAGGACGATGTCGTTCTCCTTTCTCTCATTCATTCATCTCTGTCGACGAAAATATCTATGTTTCTTCTCATCACCGTCGTCCTTCTTCCTCCTACTCCTTCAAACTTCGTCATCGCGCGTCACCCTCATACTTCGTCCTCCTACTTTGTCTTTGTCGTACTCCATCGTTCTCCTCAGTTTAACAATTATTCAATAAAATCCAAAATATATTGAAATAAAAGTGACGATCTTATTATCAACATCTTAGTAGGGGCTATTGGACTTCTATTGGATGATAGAATTTAAGGAAATGCAAAAGGACTGAAAAATAATAATTTTTGAAAGAACTTAAAAGAAGAAAATAAAATTTCGAAATTAGACAAGTTTTGGAACAAGAAAGTTTTTTTTGGAAATTAGAGTTTCCTCTTTTGTTTTAAATTAGTTTACCCAAACAATTAACAAAGACTAGCTCATAAAAACACGAAAGACAAAACAATGAGACATTGAACTCATAATCTATATTCGACGCACAAAACCTAGAACAACAAAAAAAAAAACAAATTAAAATACGTACGAGAAAACAGAACGATGCGTTGCATCACAGCATCAGGCATCCAGTGCCATCACAACACACTAAATAATCTAAAAAAAAACATTTGCTTAACGTTTCCCTCCACATGCATAGTATCAGTCAGTGTTTTGAAGGATCAAGAACTTAACACATGAACAAAATCACTCCACTCTTGTCTTCTCTTACCGTGAACAGAAATGTATGGTCCTCTGAGGCGGCTGCAGCTTCGGTTCCCTCTTCATCCACCACAATGCAAGATTTATGAAGAATCTTTGAGACATACAAATTGCCACTGTTGGTAAGCGAATCAACCATCTCAGTTAGACATCACTTTGTTCGTGAATTGGTGGAAGAAAAACAGGTAGTACTTGAACATGTTGTCACAGATTTACAGCTCGCTGATTTATTCACAAAACCATTGGACTTTAACCGTTTTGTCACCTTAAGAAATTCCATTGGAATTTGCACAAGTGGTTTTGAATGATGCAGGGGCTGACACAGGCACTGGCTCGGGGTGTATAACAAGTTCAGATTTTGTTTGGAGTCAAAGGTGCCAATGAGGATCAGCTACTTTGTCATGCCGTCATGTCACCTCAACATAAGAAAAGTGAAAAGTAAGTGATTCTAAAAGCATGTTCAAGGTCAAAAAGCAGCTGAGCCAACTCCAAATGAATGTAATATGATGGAGATGGCTTGCTGCTTCAAGAACCAAAAAGTGATTCAATGAGCATAACAGGAAATGTGATGAACTGACAACAATAGCTCACAAGGCTAAGTTGGTTCATGTGATTTCTCGAAAGACAATGTTTCACAAGAACAAAGTCTGACGATAGAAAAGAGCTTAATTGGAAAGGGGATGGATTGACAACAATAGCTCACAAGGCTGTTGGTCCATGAGCTTTCTCGAAGGGTAATGTTTCACAAGAACAACATCCAACGACAGAGAATGAATCACATGTTCTGCCTTGAACAAATAAAGAGTTTCACTTTGCACATCATTGAATTAGAGGTGGTGATATGATCTGGGTATGACAAAGTGAAAGCTGCAGGTTGGAATCAGGATGGCCAAGCGCTATGAATCTGTTGAGAATTTGTAATACATCCTGATGCAAGTGCCGACTCAGTCAATGTCTCCTTCACTAAAATGAAAGGTATTTAATTTGAGATAAACTGAGTAAAAATGTTTTTAAGCTGAAAAGATGTGACACATGGGATGGTATTGCTTGTTTGGATTCTACTTTGAATCGAATTTTATGTGGATGTCACAATTTTATCCTAAGTGTTGTACTGCTGATATTGGTGCTGAATGTTACAGGAAGTCAAGCAGGAGCTCTGGATTCTAAACCAATTAATCCGGCTGATTTATGTTTTAATTCCTAATCCGGTTTGGTTTAAGTGGTTTCTCGATGCAGTGAGATATAAAAGGGAAAAAGCGAAAAAGGAAAGTAAATAGTCTATCGAAAACCCTAATTTCTTCCCAAATCGATTGAAGGAGTCAATCTATTCAATGGTGACCGCAACTCGTCAAGGGCTAATTCGACCTAGTAAAAAACGATCAACGAAGCACAGTGACGGATCTGCATCAGCCCCGGTGGAAATTGACGATCCAGTCGAAGAAACGACGATTCCAAATCCTCCGCCGCAAAATTCAAACATGCAAGAAGGAGCCGCCGTCGTAGATGACAACTCCAACAAGCAGCTCGTCCCTTATGAAGCGGAATCCGACTCTTTCACCACGGCTGAGGACGAAGAAGCAGGAGGCGAAGAGGCGACGGCGGAGAAATCCGAGAATCGCCAAGACGAGAAACCGTCGGATCCACACACCGCCGGAACCCTAGATCCGCCACCGACTGAAGGAGCGACTGAAGCAGCGGTCACTACACCTCCGGTGGTGACCGTCGGTGATGAGCTAAACGCCACCGCAACAGAGATTCCGGAGCCCGACACCTCAATTCCTCCGTCAGATCTGAGATCCGCCGCTTCTCCATCTCAAGTCGACAATCGAGAAGACACTGAGGCCCTCGATGAACTCAATCTGGGTGAACCTTCCAGATCTGAGCAGAAGGAGCCGTCCCCTGATCCACCGAATGTAACAGTGCCAACGAGTCCTTCACCAGTTCTCGATCAAACGCGATACGCCGTCTCCAATGAAGAACTGAGCGAAGAAGATATCTCTCTTATTCCATTGGAAGAGGAAAGTTAACGTGCTTGAGAGACACAAAGCTAAAAATGGGGAGATTGAAGATGCAGCTGGTTTGACGCAGATCGTGAATTAGTTAGGAAGTGCATCAGGACGTGTGGACGGACTTGTAGCGGAGCTAAGTGGAGCTTAACGGAGCTACGGAATGTTGCTGAGCTAGATGCGAGCTTGTAGTAGTTAAGTACGAATCCAGAAGAGGCGGTAGCTGAGCTGGATGAGGAGATTTGGAGCTATCAAGACAAAAGGAATATTTCCTAGAGAAAAATAAGGAAGGAAATATTCTCTTGGAGATTTGGAGTAATCACCAAGGTAGAAACCTTGTAGGGTTTCACATCTCGGCTATTGAGGATAACTAGCAATGTTTTTAAAACCGGACCGGAGAACGAACCGGAAAAGCTTTTGGGTCATTGGTTGATATGGTCTAACCGGTTCAACCGGGTTTTCAATATATATAAATATATATATATGGAAATTAATATTTAAATATATATTAATATGTGGTCATTAATGTAAATATGTAATTGATTTATTAAATAAGGGATACTTTGTTATAGTAAAAATGAACTAAATAAATTAAATTTTGTTATATAAGAAGAGAGAACAAGAGAAGAGAGGAATTGGTTGTGTATTATTCCATTAGTAATGAGCTCCTTATATAGGATTACAATATAGGGTTTTCCTTGGAGAGGAATACACTTGGAGAACAAGCTAGAACATTCTAGAATATGGGCCGATAATGGGCTTCCATATAAACTAGTTATAACACTCCCCCTTGGAAGTCCATTATCTAAAAATATCTTCTAAGTGCGCATGATGCTGCCTCGTTAAAACCTTACCAGGAAAACCCAAAGGGAAAAACCTTAGTTAAGGAAAAAGAGTACAGCGCGCAACTACTCCCCCTCATGAGAACATCCGTGTAGATTAGGTGAATGAACTTCTTGATAATAGCAGATGGAAACTCCTTTAAAATCTTCACTTGAACAGTCTTTAGAACATTGACATCGCCATTCTTCTTGGTTGCATGGATCAAGATGATTCATCTTGATCAATCTCCTTGCTTCACTTGATCTCATAAATAGATGACAAGACTTCTTTAGATGTTTCTCATTTGTGTGTTCTTTGTTGCCTCATTAAAACCTTTCATGGAAAAACCCAATGGGATAAAAACCATGATAAGGAAAAAGAGTACAACCACACATATCATCATATTCTCCCCCTTGGAAGCATCTTCTTCAGGAGATGCATTCCAATACTATCTTTTGGAGATTACTATAAGTATAACTTTGATGAAAGTCATTTAGACTTTTAGTCTATGACATCTTTTTCTATAAACAATCATTTGGACTTCTGGCCAAATTTTCTCTTTTATATACATTCTTGTAAACATCTATCTTGTATATATAATCTCATGCTCATTTTCAATTATGAAAGAGACTAACATATTTTTCAAATAGCATTTGAAGTATGGTACTTCAGGACCAAATATATGTGAGCATTGTTTATGTAAATCATGCCATAACATTTCTGGGAATTTGGGATATCTTAAGACAACTTTGTCTTTCCAAGATCTTTTATCCCATCTCCTTTTGTGATACTAATTTCGACAATTCTTCTGGAATTTCGATTTCGATATGTTTAGACTAAGATCTCTTTTGATCTATAAATATACATGGGTATTTGTTAGCTTTATATATTCACTTTCGTGATTATATCCATGAATCAAATTTCTTTTCATTTGATTGAATAGCTAATATTTTCCGGGAACAAAACAATGATATCATTAATTCTTCAATGATTATATCCTTCAGGGACTTTTATATAAATGTCATTGTTTAGTGAGTTGTATAAGTCAAGTTCTTCTTTCATTGCCAGACTTAATGAACTTGAAAGTTGCATCCACCACATGAGAGTATATCTCTTCATACTCATTCTTCTTCGGCACAAATGCCTTTATAACTCACTTGTTTCACACTTTTTAGGTGAAAGGACTTCTGGTCCAAATACTTTTTCTCTTTCTAAGAGATTTTGTTTTGTGTCTATTGCTTCTTTTCGATTTGGCCAAATCATTACTTTGTGTACACAATGCAATAGACTTTGTTTCATGATCCTCTTTCTCATTCATAATATCAACTGCTACATTGCATGCAAATATATTATTTACGACGTCGATTTGCTTTGGTTCCATTTATTCTATACATGACATAAGTAATTTCTCGAGATCTCATCATTGTCTCAGGTACCTGAATTTCTTATTTGTCATGTTTAATGTCTCTTCTGGAGATCACTCAAAAATATTTGTTTCCTCGGTTTGACCATTGTCAATTTATGCTCTTTTACTTTTTCGAGGATTTAATATTTGGAACCGACAAGTCTATCACGCTTCATGCGTTCTTTAGACTCACTAGCAGCTTGATATTGTCCTTCTGGGACATCAATTCTTATTAGAGCATTTACAGCTGGTAAGTGACTCAATCACTATATTTGGGTCAGTAAATGTATCTGGCAACTGATACAATAAGTTTTGTGAATGAATTATCTTTTGGACTTCTATTTCACATTCTATAGTCCGAGGATCAATGATAATTCATTCAAACTACTTTTCTTTCCAGCCTTTTATTTTCTCCCCCTGATGTTGGAAAGACTTATCCATTAACATGGTAGTCTATAAATCGAGCCTTACTTAAATCCTTCAGATAGCTCTAGATATTATCAATGGAGATTCATATCCAACATCTACAATCTCTTTTGAAGATCCATCTTATATTGCTGTGGTGGAGCAATGTGGATGTTGCACATCCAAAGGTTTCTGACCCAAAACCAATTTTGATGGGGAGAATTTTAATTTTGTTGCTTATGCAATGAATGAACATTTTCTACTGATGTTCAACATTTATTCTTACAAACATGTTTTTCTTTCACCATAGACTTAAGATGTGATTTCACTAGCATTACTAAGTCATCTTGCAAACTTCAGGTTGCAAATTTATTTCATTGATACATACAACTATTTGTTGATGCAAAACACAATGAAATTTCTTATAGGGATGATTAGTCCACAAAATGGGTTATTAAACCACATGTTTCTTGTATATTCTCTAGAAAATGAATTGAATCAAAATCTATTTTGGCTAGTGATAATTGTTGTATTATCATAATCTCTTATGATAAAATATCACATTAGAAATCATTAAGAAGAATCTTCTAGTTCTTCAATAAATGTTTACATGTTGTATTTTACTTCGCATAATTCTTGAACTGGAATGGTCTAACCAGTTCATGCCAAATTATGTTAGATTCAGCAAACTTCTGGTTTACTATATACATCTATTTAACTTTTCCTCATTTATTGTATATTGAAATTCCTTGGAATTACTTTATATATGATTCATCAGGATCACTCATCTTTGAGTATAATCTTCTGGATTATGAATTTGGGATTCTTACACTTTTCTTGATCAATGATCAAGTTTATCTTGAGTGTGAACATAATCTTCTAGATGTTCCATTTATTATTGATTGTGGGATTCATCCATTCTCCCCCTCGAGATGATGATACTTCAGGTTCATCTATCTCGAATTGAATTCCAATATAAAATCAATAACCTCTTTAACCATTTACTTGTATATCACATTCACTTCAGGGAATTGATCATAACCAATTGGATATGATTTTCATCAATGATTCAATATTTTCTCAAAATAATGTAAAATTGTCTAAGATTATTTTGTCTACAGGACAATATGACAATATTATTTAGAGTATGCTTTTTAGCATCTCTATTGATATACATTATCTTCTATATAGTTAAAAGTTATTTACAGACTTCAGGTCTTGTAATCTTTCATGAAAATTTAAGATATCATATAGAGAATAATAAAATAAAAATAAAAATAATATATATATAAAATAAATAGAGCATAATCAAAATAAATATTAATAATATATACCATTTATTATCACTTCTGGTGACAAATTTAGTTTAAAATAAAATTAGAAAGATAAGATATAATTTGAATAAATTCTCAAATTATATTATCACTTCAGGTGATAATGTTTTTGTGTCTGCAAGACAACAAAATTTTCTTGATGTATTTTAACATCTTCATAATATTTATTATCTCCACTTATAGACTTCAGGTCATGTGGTTTTTGATGCAAATACTAAATATAAAAATAAAAATAAATAAATATTATCAAGCTATAAAATGTATAAGTAAAACATGATAATAACAATTAATATTAGTAACATGTACTATTTTATTATCACTTCAGGTGACAAATTTAATTTTAAAAGAAAATAATAGATTAAAAATCATTAGAATTTCTTTGCTATTGTGTCTACTGGACAACAATATTTTATAAAATACTCTTTAAACATATTTATATTATTGTGTCTGCAGGACAACAATATTTTCATGATTTCTTCTAACACATTTGTATTAGTAGTATTATTCCACATATAAACTTCAGTTATATGATTTAATACAATAATTTTCGATTTAGATTATATCACTTCTGGTGATAATTCTTTTTCTTTAGATTAATATTTCAGATCATATCACTTCTGGTGATAATTTTTTTCTTTGAATAATATCTATCACTTCTGGTGATAATTTATTTTCTTAGAATAATATCATATCACTTCTGATGATAATTCTTTTAGATTTCTCTCTATAGATCTTTTATAGCCAAATACTCATGTACAAAATTATAATCACAAAAATATGATCAAACTATATATATTATGAACATAGATCATAGTTACATAACTCAATCAATAAAGTTATATAAATCAATTTAAACCAATGGGGTAGTATATTAAAGAGCAATGCACTACGCACCATAAAACCAGAATTTACAGAATTCAATATTGATGAGGAAACATAAATATTAAGGTTTTGATCAAGTCAACGATCAATAACAAAAAGAACTAAATGAAATTGTAAAAGAGTAATACTAATTAATGGTTTCAAAACCAATATAAGACTAAGCCACCAACCAT